CTTTTATGAGTTTTTGGCCATTGACTATCTTTAAATCGCTGCATCCTGGTACAACAGTCGGCTCTGGAAGCGATCGCTTTTTTCTATTTTTTTTTTCTTCTTTTTTTGAAGCGAGTGGTTGAAGCAAATGGAGCATAAGAGCCCCCTGGTGGCTGAAGAAAAAAATCCATGTATAAGCYGCACCGGWCYATAAGCCGCATGGTTCAAAGTTCAGGAAAAAAGTTGCGGCTTATAGTCCGAAAAATACGGTAATAGAAATTTTTCATGTGTGAAACACCTGTTTTCATGAGATGTGAAATACTGTTGTACTCTTCTTTACAGTATATACTGATTATATTTCATTTTTATATTTGCAGTTCCTTGACTTTTTGTTTCTGCTACTGTCTGCTGTAAATGCACTTTATATTGTCATCAATGCATGTTCCCATAGAATGCATGAGATTTGTGCTCTGCATTTGACCCATCACACACATAAGTGATGAGTATGACAATGAGCCACGGACACAAGATGTTTTACAGCTACCTTTGATAACGTGAAGTCTACAGGAGAGCTGTCATGAAAAAAGTGGACATTCAACCACCTCAACCTGTTCAGCATGTCAACACCTTGGATGAGTGTGGCAGTGATCCTACCTGTAAATAACCTTCTTTGGTCGTTCCTCTACTGTGTCCCAGAAGCGCGCATGTCGGATTAGGTTCTGCACTCGGTCATCCTGATCTGGTATTTGGTTCTCAGGCATCTCAGCCAACGAGAGGAGGGCAGGAGGTAGACCTGAGATCACCTTGGATTTGGTCAACCAAGCAGCCTGACGCACACCTGAGACATAAAAACGTGAAAATTACTAAATAAATACACATTAAAACTCAAAGATAGAAAAGATAAGATCAACACTCGGCATACATATGGATCTTAAGAGTTTTATCATGTAAGAAGTCCATAGTGCTGAGTCAGCATTCACACTATTGTTTTCCATTGGTTCTTTAGAACCTACAATAGATATTATAAAGTGGCATCCCTATCCTTCAAATACAAAAACTCAAAGAAATCATCTTTATACTTAAGAAAATTAGCATAGTACACATTAGGGTTGCGCGGTATACGTGGTAGATGGTAGAAACGGTATGAAGTTGGCCTACAGTAGAAATTTATACTCTACCGTCCTATCGTCATTACATCATCACACCTGTGTCAACATGGCTGCGAGTGCAGAGACAACTGAGCAGGAGTTCAAAATATAATGAAGAAATTCTAGCGTTTTAAAAAGCGTATAGACAGAATAAATCCTCAAAATTTCCTCCTCCCGCTGTAGAAAAGTTATGTCATGTCGCGGGATCATTTCCTCCCTCCCTCCCTCCCTCTCCTCTCCTCCTGCTGCACGTCGAGCAGAGCAAAGCTTTAACAACTGTAGTTTTTCACACCCAAATGTTGGAGAAAAAAAAATGTTTTATGTATTGTTACCCACAGAGATTATAAAAAAAAAAAAAGACGTGGACGTTTGTTCATTCATAAATCCATCTTGCTAATGTAAAGTCGGCTTCTGCTCTGATGATGACAATGATGAAGATGAGAGCGCAGCAGAGCAGCAGCTGATAAGTTCAGCAGGCAGAAGCTCATTGTTTGGCAGGCAGATATTAAAGCAAAAATGTTGGGTTTAATTAAAATTACAGTTTTCTGCAAAAACATGCTCTAAAAATGACATTATCTTAACTTTTTATAATTTTCTACCACGATATATACCGTTACCGTGAAGGGGTTCAATTTATATCGTGATATGAATTTGAGGTCATACCTCCCAGCCCTAGTACACACGATTTTACCCATTTTGTCACATAACTGGTTTTTGTACCTTATATGTTGGCCTGTCACGATAGCAAATTGTACTGGATGATAAATTGTCTCAGAAATTATTGCAATAAACAATAGTATTGTTGCAGACCAGTTTAAACTAATAAAATGATATAAACAACCCATTTATGGAAGTGTGCTTTAAAATTTACAGTGTAAAAAGAAAAAAAATAACTGTCGGCAATCCCAAGGCATCGCCAGCTGTGTGAAGGCGTCAGAAAACTGAAGACGCTCCTCTAGGTAAAGGTCTGTTCACTGGATCTCATGCTACAGAGGTTAGAGACCATTTCCCTGGCAAATACCAGGAAACCGACACCAGAAGTACGAAAATTATTGTCTTCATTTTAATTTATCATATGATTAATCTTTATTGTGACAGGCCTACGTATATATGCTTCTACATATTTTAACTGTTTACTTTTATCATCATAGATGTGCAAATTCTTACAGGTTAGGTTAGGTGCTCTTTGAAATTTGATAAAGTGCTCTGGATGCTATTGCTAAGGTTAGCTAAAACTGAAGAAAAAAATATATTGGTCCTACCTGTAGGATATTTGGTTATTGAACATACAAACAATTTCAATGCCACTGAAACTGGTCCCTTTTACATCACTAAAAATATTTTTATTGAATAGGGGTGCAACAATATATGTATCTGTATCAAACCGTTCAATACACACTATGTATGGAAAAATACAGATTTTTTAAATTTATTTTATCAACTTGTCTCTTGAAGATGCTCTGTGTTGAAGGATCAGTGGATCTGTGCTCCACTACTCCACCTAGGCTGCATTGTGTAGTGCAGATCCACAGAGAAACCTGCTGTTTCAGCAACATTTAATTTAAAAACTGTACTTTTGAGGTTAAACAAATGTTCATAATTAAATTCAATAAATTTAAAGCTAAGGGCGTGGAAATTTCTCTTTTTTGTATCGAAAAAATATTGAACTGAGACTAAATTATCAAACCGAAACGTAAATTTTCTATATTGTTCCACCCCCAGTATTTACACATTTATAAATCATGCAGCAACTACCCACCCTATACTGAATTTTATTAATTAATTTTTTTTAGCTCAGAAGAACTGTTATTGCTTTTATTACTTTTTATACAGCTTTTTACAATGTCTGCACTAACTTTGTTATTTTAGTTAGGGAGCCCTGCCCCATTTTTACTTTGTGCCTTGGCTGTGTCCAAAACGACAGGCCGGGTCCTCCGGAGGACCCAGACTACCCGGTCGCGGCGGGCCGGGTCCTTGGTAGACCGGGAAGACCGGAAAAAAAGAGGCTGTGAATTTGGACGGTCTAGCCACCCCACCACCCCGGCG